CCCCCCCTCTGAGTGTGTACATGTGTGGCTGCGTGTGTTTGTTCATCTTTTGGGTGTGTGAAAAAGGATATTGGACATAGTTTAGTGATGTTTGATATGTGTGATCTGTCTTTTGCTCTTTGCAGCGGATGGTGAAGATGTGAGGGTGAGTCACAGTCAAACAGATGAGCACCCCCAGGCTGAGCCTAGCGCACGTCCGTCGTTGACAGCAGACCGTCAAATGCAAGAAGAAGCAGGAGGTGCTGAGCCTATGCAGTCTGATGGTGCTGGAAGGGAGTCAGAGGGCCGCACGAGTTCACATCGAGAGGTGCTCCGTCCCTTCGCTTTTATTGATGAAGTCGCTGAGGGATCACCCGGCCAGATTGATGGAATGAAGGTTGGGGATCATATGCTTCGTTTCGGATCTGTCACAGCCGGACCCGACTGCATCCGCCGGGTTGCTGAGGAGCTGCAGGCTATGGAAGGAAGGGCAGTGCAGACAGAAGTTCTGAGAAGAGGATCGAGGATTTCTCTTATGGTTATGCCCAGGCCATGGGCCGGTCGTGGGCTTCTTGGGTATGACACTCCTTATCTCACCCCACTCACCTCCTTGTTTAACACTTTTCTGCATTTGATCTTTTGGCAGTGGGTTGAGACTATGGCTGGAGTTTGGGCCTGGCCACACCACTTTCGAGACGAAAAAAGAACGAATGCATCTTCCCTAGAAGTGGTAAAGTGCATCTGTTGCTATTCATAGTAACCGATGGATGCATCTTCCTGCAAATCTCTGCGGGTATTCATCCTGACGCCTCGACAACAAATCAGGGAGGAGAAACCATCAAGCCTGCAAGAACAAACAATGTGCTGCAGAGAATCACAAGATAAACGGCCTCGCCACACCACTGACAAAACGAACAAGGTCAGAGGGCAACGAACGAGTTCCGTCGACTCCGTTTTTTTTGTCTTTTTTTTTACGACAAACGAGTTCCGGCGACTCCCTTTTTTTTGTCTTTTTTTTTTTCATTTCTAAAAAAAAAGTAAGTTATTTAAACCACCACTACCTCCGAGCCTGTTTTTGCCAACCCTGAATTTCACTGCGCACCGAGTTTTGCCGAGCCTGGGTCCCGTTGTATTTTCTTTTTTTTTCTTCTTTTTTTTCTTCTTTTTTTTCTTCTTTTTTTCTTCTTCTTTTTTTTCTGGTACTCGTCGGAAATGGAAAAAAAAAAAA